AGGCACTTGACTACTTACCAGAAGGCTGGAGGTTCAAATCCACCAGCCACTCCTCAGAAGGAAGGTTGGGCAATCTACTTCGTAGTGATATTGCCTCAGAAACCCAAGGAGGGGTCACTATAAGTCGAGTCTGACTCTACGGCATATAACAACAACAACAAATTCAGGGGGGATATCATCAAAGTCATATTTTGGCTCTCGTGGACTTGTTTTAATTGTCTTTAACTTCAAGTTAACTTGCATATGAGCAGTTGATGGTCTGTTCCACAATCTGCTCCTGGCCTGGTTTTGGCTGAAGATATTGAGCTTTTCCATCACCTCTTACCACAGATGTAGTCAATCTGATTTCTGTGTATTCCATCTGGTGAAGTCCACATGTATAGCCTCCATTTGTGTTGTTCAAAAAAGGTATTTGCAATGAATAATTCGTTAGGTCTTGCAAAATTCTATCATGCGATTTCCAGCATCATTTCTGTTACCAAGGCCAAATTTTCCAACTATCGGTGATTCTTCTTTTTTTCCAATTTTTGCATTCCAGTCACCAGTGATAATTGACATATCCTGATTGCATGTTTGGTCAATTTCAGACTGAAGAAGCTGATAAAAATCTTCAATTTCCTCACTTTTGGCTTTGGTAGTTGGTGCATAAATTTGAGTAATAGTCATATTGATTGGTCTTCCTTGTAGGTGTATGGATATTATCCTATCACTGACAGCACTTCAGACAGATCTTGAAACATTCTTTGTGATGATGAACACCACACCATTCCTCTTCAAATTGTCATTCCCGGCATAGTAGACCGCATGGTGGTCTGACTCAAAATAGCCAAAACCAGTCCATTTCAGCTCACTAATGCATAGGATATCAATCTTTATGCACTCCATTTCATTTTTGACAACTTCCAATTTTCCTAGATTCCTACTTCGTACATTCCATGTTCCGATGATTAATGGATGTCTGTGGCTATTTCTCCTCAATTTGAGTCCTGCCATGTCAGCAAATGGAGGTCTCAAAAGCTATACCTTATCCATATCATTAAGGCTGGTTCTACGCTGATGATGTAGTCTTTCCTGGTCCTGTTTTGAGAGCCTTCCAACCTAAGTGGCTTATCCTCCAGCACTGTATTGAACAATGTTTCTGGGCTATTCATAAAGTTACACAGTAATGTACCAGACAGTGTTTCTCTGCTATTTGTAAGGTTTTCCCTGGCCAATTCTTTGAGAAGTGGATGGCCTCCTCCTTCTTCCTAGTCTGCCTCAGTCTGTAAGCTGTTGAAACCTGTGCACCATGTGCAACCTTACTGAGTTTGAGACACCAGTGGCACAGCCTTAAGCCTCACAGCAACTACCACCACAGTAGGACAAACTGACAGACAAGTTTGTCTCCCTTAGCTGTTCAAAACCTCCCCACCGGCCCCACCAGCCCCTTACATAGATCCCTGCCTCTTTCCTGCTGCTTGGGAGGGGCGTGGCCTGGGTTCCCAGACTTACCTGGATTCCTGCCTCTGCTTCCTCCCTCTGTCCTGGTCCTGGCCTCCCGCCCTCAGTTTTTCTCTCTTAAATAGTGCCTAAATTTGGAGCTCTGGAATTAATTTACAATTTGCAACTGAAATCAAAATTACATTTGTAACCTGGGAGAATTTGCTCCAGATGAGGTTGGTTTCTCTTTCTATTCTAACCCTTTTACTATGAAAATTTTCTAATTTAAGATAGTGTGCAAGTATAATGAATACGTGATCCAGATTTAGTAATTGCTATCATTTTGCCATGTTTGCTTCATCAATTACTATTTTGTAGATGTTTTCAGAAATAAATTCCAGACAGCTGACATTTTATCACTTATGTTTCTCCGAAAACTGACATTTTTCTCTATGCTCATAACCTATTGCCGTCAAGTCAATTCCAACTCATAGTTCTTTGGGTTGTCATAGGGTTTCCAAGGCTATAATCCTTATGGAAGCAGACTGACTGCCACTTTTCTCCCACAGAGCAGCTGGTGGATTTGAACTGCTGACCTTTGGTTAGCAGCTGAGTGCTTAACCATTGTGCCACTAGTAAAAATTATCTCACTTAAGAAAGTAACAGCCATTCCCTAAAATAATCTAATACCCAGTATGA